TCATCATCATCATCATCATCATCATCATCATCATCATCATCATCATCATCATCATCATCACCATCATCATCATTATCATCATCATCATAATCTGTAACTTCCAATTTACACATAATAATTCAACAAAGGATCTTAACATTACCTTCTTTGATCCACTGTCGAACAATAAAGCCTAGGCCGCCAATCAAAGCAAGCGCAAGCTCCACTGTGTTTTCATATGTTTCAAGGAGCTGTAAGGAAAGTTAAGAATGTTAAAAGAAAAAGTCATAAAAGTCAACTTCAAACAATTTCAAGCATTTTTGAAAACTAAAGGTTTACTTCACTTCAATACTCAGCTCTACTCCTTGTTGTTATTTCGACATCACGCAAACCGCCAATTTGGCAGAACAGCTGAATGCAATGTTGCAGAGTCGAGACGTACTTTGCGCCCGATCAGCACGGTATTCAACCATCTTTTATTTCTTTAAGGGCAGCTACTCCTTTCTTCGTCGCTAATTAGACACTCTTGCCCCCTGTTACTTGAGCTAACGCGATATCGATCACAAGTTGGCACACAAAGAAAGAGAAGTAGTAACAATAGAGAGAATAAAAAAGAGAGCAGCTTATACAACAAGTAAAAGAAGAAGAATGTATGTTTATATGAACGCAGGAAAACAGAAATCCACAATAAGGAGAAAATAAGTTCAGAAGCGCAAAATTCAAAGTCTATTCGTTCATGAAAAAAGCAAATCGACATAATAGAAGTCGTTTCGCACTAACTAAGAACAAACGAGATTAATGGACGTAAACAACAGAGTGAAAGGAAAGAGGTATGATCTGGCAGTGATGCCCGCCAACCAACCATCATCATCATCATCATCATCATTGTTCGGTAAGCATGGTAGGAGGGAGAGTCTTGTATGAATTTCAGACAAAATAACATAACAATATGAAATGTTTAAAATTTGTTTAATAGCTCAACGGTTCGCCTCGTGGGCTTCCTCAGGAGCAACTGAGAGAAAAACTAAATGAGCGCTGTACTAGCAGGGAAATGAGCCTACCGAAGAGATTCTTAGGATTACGCGTGGTTACAGGCTAGAAGGAAGTGACTAAGTGGGTGCCAGGCCAAGGGGCTAATTATAAAGAAATTGATGCTAGTCTAGCAAGAATATCAATTTTATCTCTACGAGAGGCTGACAGGAAGTTAATTGTGTGAACGTGGGATGAAAGAGGGAAATGTTTCGGCGTAGTTTATAAAGGCATTCCAGTTGGAGGCATCATCATCATCATCATCATCATCATCATCATCATCATAATCATCATCATCATCATCATCATCATCATCATCATCATC